ATGTGCCAGCATTCATCTTGAGGATAAAAAGACAAACACCATTTCCTTCCTCCTTTCCTCCGGCTCTATTTTCCTAAGGGTCAATGATGCACACCCCATTGCCTTTGGTTTAAGTTTCAGGGATGCCAACAATACTACAGGGATCTGGCAATGATTGAAGTTGAAGTCTGGCCACTGGAAAAAATGTAAAGGTGATGCATTCTTTCACCTCCCCCTTTTTGTAGTAAAAGCATCTCTACCATTCATGAAGTATCTGGTCAAATTCATAGACACAGAAAGTAGAATGGTGGTTAGCAGGGACTGAGGAGAGGAGGAGATGGGGAATTGTTGTTCAAAGGGTCTAGAGTTTCAGTTTTGCAAAATGAAAAAGTTCTGAGATCTGCTGGATGACGATGTGCATATACATAACACTACTAGACTCTACACCTACAAATGGTTATGATGGTAAAGTTTATGTTATGCATTTTTTTTACAATTTAAAAAAAAATTTAGACTTTCAGAAAAAGAACAACTATAAGAGCTGCTCTTTCTCAAAAGTTAATCCTATGTGGCAACAACAGTGTTTAAGCATTTTGCATTCATTTATCTCCTTAAATCCTTATAACAACTTATAAGGATTTGTCTGCCATTTGGTAGACAAAGAAAAGACTCAGAAAACTGAAGCAACTTACCCAGGGATACACAGATTTTAAGTGGCAAAAACAGAATTTAAAACAAGCTCTCTCTAACTCTGAAAGCTGTGCTCATAACTGCTATGCCAGGAGTTTCCAATGAGTTTCAAAGGATTTTAATTAGGAGTTAGAAGAAAAAAAGTCTTTATGCAAAAATAAGCACAGAAAATGCTATTTATTTTATTTTACTTTTATATTAATTTTTAATAAAAATCATGTATATTTAAGGTGTATAACATGATGTTTTGATACATATATACATGTTGAACTGATTATGACAGTCAAGCTAATTAACATCAATCTCTTCACACAGTTACCTTTGTTGTAGTGGTGGTGGTAGTGAGAACACTTAAAATCTACTCTCAGTAAATTTCAAGTATACAATACAGTATTACTAATTATAGTCACCTTGTACATTAGCACTCTAGAACTTTATCCTATGTAACTAAAACTTTGTACACTTTGACCAATATCTCCCCATTTTCCCTGCCCCCCCCTCCAGTCCCTGTTAACCACCCTTCTATTCTCTGTTTCTGTAAGTTTGACTTTTTTTAGATTACACACCTAAGTGAGATCATGCAATATTGTCTTTCTAGGTCTGGCTTATTGCATTTAGCATAATTTCATCCATATTGTTGCAAATGGCAGGATTTTCTTTTTTAAAAAAGAGGGATGGGATAATATTCCATTGTATAGACCACATTTTCTTTATCCATTCATTTGCTGATGAACACTTAGGTTGGTTCCGTATCTTAGCTATTGTGAAAAGTGCTGCAATAAACATGGGACTGCAGATATCTCTTCAAGGTACTGATTTCAGTTCCTTTGGATATATACCCAGAAGTGGGACTGCAGGATCATATAGTGGTTCTATTTTTAATTTTTGAGAAACCTCATACTGTTTTCCAAATGGCTATACCAATTTACATTCCCACCAACATGGAACAATGGACAGACTTTTCTCACCAACACTTATCTTCCATCTTTTTGATAACTGTCATCCTAACAGGTGTGAGTTGGTATCTCAATGTGGTTTTGATTTGCATTTCCCTGATGCTTAGCAATGTTGAGCACCTTTTCATGCACCTGTTGGCCATTTGTATGTCTTCTTTGGGAAAATGTCTACTCAGGTCCTTAGGCAAATGCTGTTTAAATGGATGTCTTAGGGGCTGGCCCATGGCTTACTTGGGAGAGTGTGGTGCTGATAACACCAAGGCCACGGGTTCGGATCCCTACATAGGGATGGGGGGTTAGTTCACTTGGAGAGCGTGGTGCTGACAACCCCAAATCAAGGGTTAAAATCCCCCTTCTGGTCATCTTTAAAAAAAAAAAAAATGGGTGTCTTTACTACAAGTCTTCTTGGAGACTTTCAGGTGCAGAGTGTGTTGTGAACTGCCAAGAAGGGGCGAATGTACAACACTTCATAAGTTGCTTTGGGCTGTGGGTCTTTGGTTGGGGAGCATCTGTCAGGACGAGTGTTGTGAGGAACACACTTGAGGAAACTTCTCTGTGCATCACTGCTTCCCCTTGGTTCCTCCATTTTGGTGGCTGTCCTCCGAAGTTCTCTATCCCACCCCTGGCTCCCAGGGTCCTCTTCACTCTGAGATACTTTTGGAGACTCTCTGGGGGTTGCTGGGGAACCCAACCTCCCAGGCTACAAATCTACCTTTCCATGTAGACACAGGAAACTGCCCCCCCCTGGCCCCACCAAATCTAGAGCCAGTGTGTGTTCAGCCAGAGCTGGTGATCAGACCAAGCAAAGTGACAAACAATCGGTGGCAGATAAGACACTAGATGAGGGGCCAACTTAAAGATAAGTTATCCTGAATCTGCCACTTACCAGGAGTGCAAACCTATTAACTGTGCCTAGGATTCCTTATCTGTAGTAGGGAGAATAATAGAGTCTACCTCATCTGAGCATTAAATGAGTACCTCCATGTAATGGGCTTAGAATAGAGCACGGCAAATGGCACGTGTTCAGATAATCATTAATTATTATTATGATGATTATGACTGTTGTTGTCTATTATTGTTGTCATGACATACCGAAAGAGACACGGAGGAGAGTGAGCATAGCTGGTGCTCTGTCAGATCATTCGAGAAACAGGTGTTACTAACACAAGCTCAGTGGAACCACTGTCATTCCCTCCAACAGAACAAACTAATCAGGGCACAGGGCTGGGGCATTACCTGGGGGTCCTGGTTGATCTTGGCGATGTCCTTCTCATAGCTATCGATGTACAGCCGAATTGTGGCCCCTGCACTCCCGGTGCCGCTCAGTCGGAAGATGATGCGAGAACCATCTGCAAAAATGAGCCGCAAGCCCTGGAAAAGATAAACAGAGATTTTTTCCTCCACATGCTGGAAGGGAGATTGAAGGCTGGCAAATAACGAGGGGTCCATTTGGAGGCCTAATTCCACCCATACTTGATCAGTCGAAGGATTAGGTCCTTGATAAATGGCAGCAGTTGAGTCTCTTGAGTCTGCCTTCTCTCAGCCTCTCTCCACATCCAGACGATGGGGGCTTAGCTAATGCAGGAGAAGCATTTCCAGGGTCAGGTGGGAGACCTGGTCTGTGATTCTGGGTAACAGGAGGGCTTCCCTCCCCTCCCCACTTCTGTGTGATTTATGACTAACCATTCCAGTTTGAAGCTGAATAAATAAGTAAAGCTGCAAGATGCTGAAATTCAACCCCCAAATCAGGAGGGAAACAGGGACAGAATGGGCTGAAACCAGAGCAGAAGAGGTTTCAGGCAGACAAGGGGAAGAACTCTTTCCAAAACACTGGTAGAGAGCCTCAGAGAGAGAACAGGAGGCCACGTGTCCCAAATGGCACAGACCAATTATTCCTGACCCATCGAGCAGGATCCAGTGGTCAGTTTCCTGCTGATGCCTGATGATTCAAAGTGGGGTCCATGTGGGTGCAGTGCCAAGCCCACCCTTCTCTCTGCTGCCCTCTCCTTTCCCTCCCTGGTAGGCGCTCTGGTAATCAATGACCTTCTCACTCTCAGAGGAAAAAGTTGGGGGCTCTCAGGTATAGATTCCCTGGCCTGAGGGAAGAAGTCTGGGCCAGGCGGTTGCCTGAGGACCCTCAGTCTTTAAGAGCTCATCAGTCTAGCAGAACTTTGCACAATGCCGAAGACTGACTAGAAGGAAAGACACGACTCGTCCCCGGCTGTTTGCCTCCAATCCCGTGCCATTCATTACCATTTGAGACACACGGAGTACATGCCCCAGTTAATCACCACAGAGAGAATACAGTTCATTTCCTCTGACCAATTCTCGCTTTCTGGAAACATACAAGCGTTGATTTCCTTGCCCTACAGCTTTGACTTGGGGCTTCTAAATTCTTTTCACTTGATTGCAGATTCTATATCTACTTGAGAACATTTTCTCTCCTACCTGGTCTTCCATCTAAACGCTCAGGTTTTCTGATTCTAGAAAGTGGAGCTACTGCTTTCTTCCTTACAGAGCACAGTGAGCAGCCCCATACTCATGCCAACACTCCCCAGCACCCGTACCTCTGCTCCCCTCCTCCCCTCCACCTCCTAGCAGATGTCACATGCAGTACAGAGTGGGGGGTTACTTTTCCTGAACTTCTGTACTCTCTGAAAGCTTTCCTACGAGAGCTTCTGATCGGCTCTGCCGTCCCCTAGGCCCCACTTTCTCCTTTCCTACACCCCCTCTCCTTCTCAATACCAGGTCTCTCTTGTTCTAATTATCTCAAACATAACTGACAATCATCGTACTGGACCCCAAGTTCTCACAGATGGTGAAAAGGCACAAGGATGATAAGCCACTCGTGATAAAATTTGGAGGAAGGGAGACTCCAGAGAGAGGCTTTAAATAATTCCCACAGCCCATCGCCTCCAAACCCTGTCAGAAACCTTGAGAAGGACCAGGCCAAAAATATGGGTCTATCAGGAAAAAGCAAACTGAAAAGGTGTGACAGAATCTTTGCCTCTTTTTTATCTGTTTCTAAATTACCAGAGGAGTCCATTCTGTGATCACAACAATGGGCAACAGAGCCAGAGGCGGGAGGACCTTAGACCCTGAGTGTTTGTGAGAAGCCAGGAGAAGGCCTGAAGCAGCCCCGGGTGCCCAGCACACAAGGACGGAAACCCTAACAATTCTGTCTGCATCTAGAGACAGTCCAGGTTCTCAACTGTGGTGTCTCGCTACGCACCGCTGTTGTCAGGTGGGCTGGGATAATAACAGTAACGTTTGAAAGAAACGTGTGTGATAATAACGCTCTCACACTGTCATTCTGCTGTAATCACTTGGGGGAAAAGAGGGGAGTCAATATCTAAGGCCCCAGTTCACCACTGCGTTTAGATTCCAGGCTCCTTCCCACACATACACTTAATACACGGTTTGCATATAATTCCAGAGGGTACAGAAATCTTTCTGAGTCTACACTAAGAAGCTCAGAAGGAAGGAATGGGGGATTGCACGGAACCAGGGCAAAAACCATTCTCCCTATAAGTGTATGTGACAGTCACAT